GTATGTAAGTATTTTTCTTTAATTTTTAAAAAACACTGAAATTCGGCGATGTTGTGCAGCCTTAATTTAGAGGCAAAATAGGAAAATTACCCCCCCCCTTTAAAATTGGAACGGTAAAGTCTAGCACAAAATAATTTGGCACACTTTCCTAACTCATGAAGGGGAACATTTATGCCAAATTTCAAGTAATACTGTGTTGGTGAGTGTAATGCCCTGGTGAATTGACAACATGGAATGACCCTTAACTGTCACCTGATCTCAAACAGCCAACTTACGAGACTGCTCAATGTCAAAAACTTGAATCCCAGGAAGATCTATCCTACAAACATCTAGGAATGCCTTATAATCAAGGATTCGATCCCTTAATGGCATCTGTAGACTTTTTTAGCAACATGACTCTTGACAAAACCTCCAATTCCATGATATGGTGACTTATCATGACTTGTTGCAAAGAAAATCCATTCAGCGTCAAGATGGAAATCCTGCTTATGGTGACATAAATTAATGAGATTTTTGTATGGCCCAGCACAACCATTCAAAAAATATAGTTTTTCAATACCGGCATATTTGTTAATGCACTCAGTTGTCAATCTTTGTACTTCATAACCAAAAGCTGTCATGGTTGTTATCATCTGATACAAAGCACAGAAAATCATGGGAGGGAACACCATGACTGTTAATGAATTAAATGACTACTGGATGTATAGTGCAATACATTTTATTCCAACGATACCCTTGAACTTCATCCTGAATTATAAAATCTTAGTTTTCTGCAAAATCGCCCAGAATAATGGCTTCATTTCTTGCTAAATTTTCTTTCTTCATTTTTAGGTATTTAGCCCGACTTTTTCCTACATATGAGCACTTAGTTAAAGTATCAATTGCCTCAACTAGAATTTGTTTATATTCCTCATACGCTGTTGTTAGTATTACCAAAGTGGAACAATCAGTTGACAGTCATTGTGAATAATGGAATTCGGTATCAGTCTCAAATTCCTGAAGTTCCCCATCCACAAATTCCATTAATGCATTAGATCCAGGGCACTTTTCACAATGATGCATTATGCATATTCTGTTTGATGGGTCACATACCACCTTGCTGATCAAATGTTTGTATGTTATATCCCAGTTGCTTGCATCTATCAAAAGAACTGCATTTTGGTGGTGTATACAAACACACAATGAATGAGTACCACTTGAGCCAGCAATGACATACCATTTTGGGTGCAAAGAGCAGAACTTTGAAAATCCTTTCTTCACATCAGGATCTCTTTCTTTAAAAGCAGCATATAGCTCTTAAGTTGCACAAAACCATCATTTTGTTTGTACTGTCTGTTCCCAGGTAATTGCCAGCTAAAACCATCATCATTATAAAATTCAGTTAGCAAGTTGATTTTATCCTGTGACAATGATTTGCCTCTCTTTGGATTTGGAAGTATACCTTTTGTCTTCTTCAAATCTCGAGCTGTACAAATGAGATTCAGAAACATTGTTAGCACAAAACAAGCAAGATTTGTGCTAACTACAATGTTTCATATTCTGAAAAGGTACAAATCTTCAGCTTCTTGATCATAGCCATATGCAGTTGATCCAGTTCATCAGCTTTTGGTTCTTCAGTAAATTCAGTTTTTTCAACATTGTAAGCATACAAAAAGTCAACTTTCAATTTGAAAATTTAGTTAACTTGGATTTTGCAGAGGTGCACAATTCTTAGAAAAATGTTAGTCAGTCTATTATTATTAGGTAAAGGGGTTAAGGGTGAATCAACAATAATTGTATTGGTACAACGCTTTTTGCCTAACTCTTCAGGCCTTGTAGCCAACACAGTTGTAGTTCCTTCACCACAAGGTCTAGTTCCAAACTGCAAGAGCTAAACAGAAATACTTAAAACCTAAAAGTGCAAAATTTTAACTAGTGTTGTAGCTTCTATTCTGAGCAAACTAAGAAATAATCAAACTATCTTTTTGATACAAATAATGTTCAATATATATAATATAATAAAAAAAAAATTGTCATAGATACATTGCCACGTGGGGATTCTCCTCCTATTGATCTTGCTATGAAAAAATCAGAAATCCTTAATAACTTAAAATTGGTTAATTTTGAGTCTTTTTGGTAGCATTTTTGAATTCCTTGGGTCAAAAAGCTTTTCTGGATCAATTTTTAAGAATAGGGAATCTCTAGAACTAATTTTAGAGATAAAAATATATTATGAAAGGTCACAATTTTTTGTGCAACCTCAAAACTGAGGAAAACTAAAAATTGTAAATCAAACAATTTTTGGAATTAGGGGATTGTCTTACTTTAATATAGTCAACATATGGATAAAATTTCAGAAAAATTGAAGAGGTAAGGATGACATTTTTTTTTCTGGATGATTTGACATGGAATTACCCTTTCAGCAAATCCCTCATATAACAAAGAGATAAAAAGCAATATATATAAATTTAGGATTTGGGAATAAAAGTTGAGATCAAAGCATAAATTTATATAATTTAAAAACTATATGCAGAAAAGCTACTCCTGCTTAATATAAAGCAATGAATTTAAGTTACAAGGTATATATTTTAATACCACCCTAAAATATAAGGCACATTAATTATCAATTAACAAAATAAAAACATTATATTTCTCCAGTTCAAATTACAAAAAAATAAAGAAATTATTTATTTTGTACCCTAATAAAATACTTATATGAAAATTAAACCACAGCTGATAGGGCTTCTTTTTTTTTTTTTTTTCACACAACTCATGGAATGTTAAGTGTTTTTGAAACTTACTCAGCTTTTTATTGCTTGTACATCTAGTTGACTGTAGTACATAATTTAAAAGCTTGAGGAAAAGTTTTGAAGCTAAAGAAACAGATTCCACATGAACAGATCCTTGGGAAAACAGAATGAGTTACTGCTAACTATTCCAAAAGCTGGTCTGTATTCAAAGAAGGTGATGCGATCTTGTGGGATTGGAAGGACACTGTTTATGAGCTCCTTTCACAAGATCAGATGTTAAATTCAGACAAGTACTGTTCTCAATTGGACTGATTATTAAAGGCTGATGAAGGTGTTCAGAATTGTTCAATCAAAAGGGTGCCATATTTTATTAAGACAATGCCAGACCCCACATCTCTTTGCAAACCCAGCAGAAACTGATAGAGATTGGCTGGAATGTCCTACTATAGCTGCCAAACTCACCTGGATTTCTGGATTACAACTTACTTTGATCACTACAAAATTCTCTAAATCACTTAGAGCTTCAATTCTTTGGAGGCCCGTGTAAAAACCACTTAGACCAGTTCATCACACAGAAAATTGTCAAATTCTGAGTGGATAAAACCATGAAGCTACCTCAAGGGTGGCAAAAGATAGTGTAACAAAATGGCACATACATGGTTGAATAAATGTACAAATATCAAAATATTGTCTTTGAAGAAGACAGACATGACAGTAACTTAGTTTTCATTTATTTATGTTAATTAATTTTCCTTACTAAAAATCAAATCTACTCCAATTAACTTTTTAATTTTACTTGAATAAACCAGTTTTTAACGGAAAAGTTAATAAAATTGTATTAACTGTTTAAGTTAATAAAATCGTACAGTTCAGTAGCGCCAAATATTTTTAAAAGGAGAGCGCTTAAAAATAACAAGGACGTTTTTTACTGCACACTGCTGAGTTACTGACGAAAGACTAGAGACTAATTGACTTTTAGTCAAAAACATGTATAACTATATCATTAGATTTTAAAAAGAGAAATATAATAATTTTGCTATGTATCTGGCGCGAATAAAAATTATTTCTTAAGACATTGGGTACACAAGGGTTCTGCGACCTTCAAGCGTAACCTTTGACCTTGTGTCTGTTGCTTTCATCATAACACATAACATGTGAGATTAAAAATTATTTACAAAATTACAGGGCTTCTTTATAAAGACTGGACAGCTATCTCACAATTTCTGTTTAATTCTCATACCATCAAGAATCGAAATCTGAAATTGCATCATTTGGAAATTTGTAAAATTCAGCAGTGGATGGAAAATACAAACAATGTTATTTTTTAAAAATTAAACGCAAATAATAAAAAATACTTTGTTTAATGCTGTCATTTTTTTTAACTAAATCAGTAAGCTAATACTTTAATTTTTCAATTACAATGATTTTTAAGAAATTAGCGATAAATTTGAGGTTAGTCTTTTTAGCAAAAGATTTAATACGAAACAACAGAAAACAAACAGGAAAGAAAAAAGAAATGAAAATTAGAAACATATTTCATTTGATATTCATGGGGAATACAAAACATTTACTTTTTAAAAAAGAAAAGAAAACAGCAATAAAATTATCCTTTTAGTATGGACCATAAGGATTGATAATTTAAATAAAGATTGAATTAAAAACGGTAGAAAGAACGAAATTTAGCCTAATTTAGGTTATGTAAAAAAAATAACATCCATAGGACATTTTGTAGGCCTTTATACGCACACAAATAAGATACAAAAACAAATTATATTAAACAAAAAAAGATCCTTTAAATGACACTTTTGATTACAATCATTTATTATTTATTTTAATAATAAAAGGCAATAAATTTAAACTGCACAAAGATAATGAATGATTCATTGATCTTCATTTCTGAATGTGAAGGACGTTGCGTAAAAAATTCACAGGGAATATTTGTTGTATTTTACTATTCATCTAATCTAAAAATTCACAAAATGTTTGAAAATCCAATTACCACAAAATTAATATATGAATGTAATTTCCCAGTTCATTAACACTACTAATATCTACCTGAAAACAAGGAGAGAAAGAAGAGTACCACAAAAATTTCAGTAAAAAAAAAAAGAATGCCTTAGTGAAGGAAATAAATCTTGTTGCAAGAAAGATAGAATTAGAACAAATAATCACAATTAAAATCAGCTATGATCTTTGTTTAATAAAGAAGTGATCTATATAAATTTCTTAGAAATATAAGTGTGTCCGGATTCATAAAAGAAAGATACTTGCCATGGATCACGTGCGTACTCCTCCATTGTTGGCCAAGCGAAAAGGTTGGCTGAAAATGGGTGCGATTTAAAGTCAGAAAATAATTTTAGCGGAACGAAATGCTAACTAGTCGAAAATATTCGAGTTGGCTATGAAACTATTAAATTAAAAAAAGTGAGGGGGAATCATTTATTTTTATATTTATAAAACTCAAGAAATTATAAACTAAGACTGCAAAAATCTCTACTTTTATTATTCATTATTGAATTGACAAATTGATCACTAGAGGTGCCATAAAAAAATATAAATGTTTTAGTTTTAATAATAAAGAAAAAGTGGCAGATAAAGTTAAATTTGCATTATTTTGATTTATATAAAACTGCTCTTTTATTTTTAATTTTTGGTGAAATTATAAAGAAAATAATAAATCGCTAATTTTGATTTGTCTGTAATTTTAATATATTTAGAGTTATCTCCCTTATACTGGCGATACCAGGTCGTAGTCACTGTGATATGACAATGACTGAATTGGAAAAAATATAAAGCCTTATGTCAAATCCTAACAGTAAGGACTTGCATATCTATTTCATATATACTATCACTTATGTGTATACACCACACACAAAAAGAAGTCATTCATTACATGGATTGCAGCATTTATGTAACAACTACTGCAAAAGACACCAGTAGGGTCAGTCTACCTGGATTAAAAGTGAAAAATTTAAATTTGAGTGTCATGCTCACAAATACAACATAACGCAAATTATTTTTGAAGAAATTTTTTTTTTTACATAAGCAGAAAGGAAAAATACATTGAAATAATCATATATTTATGTACATATTAACATCTGTTTTTACATGGTAAACATTGTGTTTGTTCTGATCATAAAAAAAACAAAGTTCAAATGTTCAAAAAATTCTCCATTTGCTGATTGAATGTGTATGTGCATGTGATTGAAGCATATTAGTAGAAATGTGACGTGAGTGCTAATACATGAAATCTGATTATGGTGGTTCCAAAAGGAAATAGACATACAGATAGATGATCAGACTTACTTTTTCCACAGCTATGAATATTTCTTTGAGTTGTGTGAATATTCCTCTGAATGGTGTGTAGTCATCACTGACTGAGGTGTTGTCATGGTAATGAGAGAATTTTGGTTCAGTATTTACAGATCCAACCACCTGTCATCGATGGGTGATTCACGTCCAGCTGCTGACTGGGTTTTTGTTTGTAAGTATTTTTATTGCCCCCAAAATCAGTGTATATATAGTTGTCCTGATCATGTGATTGGCTCCAAACAAAAGGTTTTTGGTTTAGACAGGATAGCACCCAGCAACCAGTTCTTTTGGAGTTCAAATATACAGATATAGTCGGAAGTATAGCATGTGATTGCACTGTCCAATCAAATTCCAGAAACTACTTATTTAATTTTGGATCCTGTTTTTTGTTTTACTGATTTCTACAAAAGTTTTTGTTTTAGTCATTCTGATCCTATTTGCATGTGGGCATTTCTTACTTGTTAGTGCTTCACCTATTGGTTGTAAAATATAAGATTTTATATCCTATACACCCAGTGCTGCTTCATCTGTACAAGAGATTGTAAGAACTTAGCAGGACTAAAAAGCCACATCAACACTGCCCATATTTGAGGATGGATCAACAGATGTAGACAGTGTGGACATAGAAATCAGCACTGCATGTCTGAAGATCACTTGAGACATGAAATGAACAGTCACCATGCAGTACTGATCACTCTTATACAAATTTATGTGAAAAAAAAATATGACCCCTTTCCTCTAAGACAAAGTTTTTCCAACCAATGAAGTATTTTGATGACACCTTTTTTTTAAAATAAATATGATAATGCTATGTCTAGTTCAGGATAATAAAAAGAGGAATGTATTGGACAAAAAAGCTTGAGAAAAGGACTCAGTCTGAAGATTATTTTCAACCAATCAGAATGATGGAATTTGAAACTTTAAACAATTTTAAAAAGTAGCTTTGTTGAGGGTAGTGGACTTTCTTAGGAGCAGGTTATGGAACTAGTTAACCTATGAGGCTCAGAAAGTGTTTAGTTCTTGTGACTAAATCATATAAGATAGTGGCGGTAATTATAAATTATTCCAGGTACTGTTCAGAATAAAGCAATCTTAATCCCACATACAATGCAATGATTAAACAAGGCATTTAAACAAGTGAATTTAAAATGGACAAGAAGATAAAAATTTGTTCCTCAACAAATAATTTACTTGGGTATTTTACACATTGTGTGGTGAATATAAGACCCTTAAGAGAAGGATATGTTCACATTTAAAAGGGAAAAGATAACATACACACATTTAGGTAAATTTAATAAAAAACCCTTTGAAAGGGGAAAGTTACATACATACATTGAATTGTGTTTAAATAAACCCCTGAAAATGGAAAGGTACATGGACACACATTGAGTTTTGCTTAATAAAATAAAAAAATGAAAATGGAAAAGCACAAAGACACATGTTGAGGTGTATTAATTAAATCCATGAAAATGAAAAAGTATAAAAGCACACAACAAGGTGTGTTTAATAAAACCATGAAAATGAAAATGTTCAAAGTCAAAACACACATTGTAATGTATTGAATAAAACCCCTTGAAAAGAGGAAAGTTCATAGACAGGACACACATTAAGGTGTGTTTAATAAAACCCCTTGAAAGGGGGAAAGTTCATACCTTGGATTCATTGTTGAATCTACATCAGAGAAGCACGAAATTTTTCAGTGGCTGAGTTAACAATGCATAATCCATTTTCCAGCTGCCTTTGTTTGCTTTATGGTCTGTATTTATAGCTTCCCTTAAGCAGGTGCTGGCTCACAAAAGGTCCTCTGAAAATGCAAGGGAAACACTGTCGGTGATTGATTAATAATTTTGAATGTTTTCAACACTACCAGAAATGCCACTCAGAGCCTATGTGTAAATAACTGATTTTGGTCATTCAACTCCTGACTCTTCAGATGGAAACTTCTGGTCGACCTGACAGCTTAATGTGCTGGCTAGCATGAATATAAGAGAAACAACTGGTTTAATTTCTGTACCCATGTGAGTAGTCAAGAAGATGAGGTTAGTAGAAAATTTAACCTTAGTAGTGAGTTGAGAAAAGAGAATGCTGGATTCTTAGATATCCTGCAAAGAACTCCAGGGCAACTTACAAGAACTTAAAAACAGATAATTCTGGACATTTTACTGACATTTTACACTCTACCAAAGAGTTTTATAATTTCACCTACTATTTAAGTCTCCACTTTCTTATGAATTTTTTTCTACTTAGCTTAATTTCTTTAAGTGCTCAAAAGAATATTTTGAGCAAGGCCCTTTACCTATCTTCCTTTGCACATAAAATATTGTAAATAAGCAATTTCTCTCTATTTAAATTTCATACCAAGTCCTTTTTTATTGTGCTTAAAGAATTGTTAATATATATATTTTATAATCGGTATCACCCCATGAAAAGTAGTAAAGCTACTAAAACACAAGTGTTATGGGGTGTGGAAGAATTCGGAATAGAAACATTAATGAGTGGGAAGAGAAAAGAGTACCCAGGAGGAAAGTAGATAATGATTGATATTGCATTTAAATTTTTCTAGATTAAAGTTGGCTGCAAAAACCGGAGCCAGAAGTGAGTTCCACAAGTGAGAACGGCAAGAAAAGAAACTGCTAGCATAGAACTTATAGCTACATTGAACCAGCTCAACTGTAAATTGATGAGATCTTGACACCAGTCTAGTACTGTGCTTAAATTCAAAAGTCTAGGTACCATAGCAAAGAGCTCATCTGAACAATTACCATGAAAGTATTTATAGAAAAGACACAGAGAGACAATCTTACAGCATTGGGAAAGTGATTGAAGCCAAGCTGCCAGATCAGGACCAATAATATTGCTGATTCTTCTTTGGATTTTATCAAGGAGTGCAAGGTAAATAGCAAAGGCATTGGTTCATATGTGGCAACAATATTCTAAGCATAAACAAATGGTAGACTTATAGATATGTAAGATAGATTCTGGAGAGAAAAATGGTCTCGCATGACACAGGGAACTAACTTTCTTAGCAGCTGAGCTAGCAATGGATTCAATATAGTCTTTCCACTTCATGTCAGTTAAGAATGTTAGCCTGAGAAGGCGCAACAAGTCACTTTCCTGAAGGTTAGCATCAGCCATGCTAATACAAGGTAGAAAGGGTTCTCTCAGATGATTAAGATGATGAGAAAGGTTTAGTTTTAGAGGCATTCAAATTAACAAGCCAATTTTTGTCCCTGTTAACAACGGACTTGAGGACATTATGGACATTGGCTGCCACTTTGACATTGTTGGACTGATTAGCCTTACTATAGATGAGGGAGTAAATGGTTGTGTCATCAGGGTAGATACTAAATTGGGAGATGATATCATCGGGAAGTTCATTAATGAAAAAAAAAACACAGGGTAGGACCAAGTAGAGAGCCCTGGGGAACACCCAAGTTAGTACAAAATGATCTAGACAAGTGGCCATTCAGGATAACCTATATTTCACAATTTGATAGAAAAAACTGGATCAGTTCTAGAACGTGTCTGGAAACTCCATAATTTTTCAGCTTGTGAAAAAGACCTCTATGCCAAAGACTGCCAAAAGCTTTCTGTTGAGGGGTCCACCCTTTTTTATACAAATGAACTCACCCAGTGTATACTTATACTACTGCCAGTGAATACCCGAGAGAAAAGAGCAAGACCAAAGAGTTGAGTTGAGTCCAGAGTAAAAGGTTGTAGGTAACTGGAAGAGTGAGGGTGAGGTAACAGCATTGTAGGAGCCACGGTGAGCGAGCACGTAGACTTAGTAAGAAGTCATACAGTGATACTTCAATACCAAAGATTATATATATATATTTTGCTACTAACACGTATTCCTGGAACTACTAACCTGCTTTACCAGTTTGTATTATTATGTTAATACATTATTTTCATATATTCATTCCTGGTGTTTGTTATTTATTGGTACTGGATTTCAACCTGTGTCCAATGCTACACCGTTTTA